ACAGATCTTTGGATCATAAAGGTAAACACACTTCTCCGATCTTCAAATTCGATTGCTGCTGATTGCTCCCATTGAAATTATATCGGTGTTTCGTTTAATCGAGACCAATTCTAGTAGAGATTCTTATGATCAATTGACCTGGAAATTCAAATGCGTCTCTGAGAATTGGAGTGATTAGGTTTAGTTTGGGCTTGATCTGCTGATACATTTCGTTTGATTTTGTCAAGATCGGAAATGGGTGCTGAAAACAACCTCGAAATGGAGGGTGCTCTGGAGATTGGCATGGGTAAGTTTTATGTATAATCATGTTGATGAATATGAACAATGTTAACAAGGATCTGTGCCCATGTTAGTGAACTAGGATTTTAATCCCCTGAAGCTTAAAAAGACGGTCTTTTTCCCCCTAAAACTGCAGAGTATAGAACGGTCTCTGGTGTTGCTGGACCTCTTGTCATTCTTGAAAAAGTTAAGGTATGTGTAATAAAGCTTCTTGTTCAGATTTTTTTTTTCTTCATGAATCCAATCCGATGCTTTCTCCTTTCGACCTAAATACGTGTCATGTCTTGTTTTATGGACACTCTAGGGACCTAAATACCAAGAAATCGTCAATATCCGTCTTGGGGATGGAACTACACGACGTGGTCAAGTTCTTGAAGTTGATGGGGAGAAAGCTGTTGTTCAGGTTTGGAGAATTTTTACTATTGACTATTGTTCATTACCTTTCTGGCACTCCAAGTCTTTTAGGTCTGGTTAGTAGCTGAGTGTAAATGTTATTAATGGAACTTCTGATCCAGGTTAATCGGCACAGCCAATACCCACTTTGTTTTCTTTATATGCATCTGTCAGATAAATGTCTTCGCGTTGCTTGTCCAGGTCTTTGAGGGAACATCTGGAATTGACAACAAGTACACCACCGTGCAATTTACAGGGGAGGTATGGCACTCTCATATTGCTACATAATAAAAAAAATAGGAAAGTAATATCCAGTGATACACATATGTGGTTTTGTTATCTTACTTTTGCCAATATGTTTTCCATAGGTTTTAAAAACTCCGGTCTCATTGGATATGCTTGGCCGTATCTTTAACGGTTCAGGGAAGCCCATTGACAATGGTCCACCTATATTGCCAGAGGCTTACTTGGATATTTCTGGTGAGTCACTTTAGCCTCTTGACGTATAGTTGGCTCTCACTAGGAAAAAATTGTGCATATGAATACTCGATTTTGGTGTCTCTAGGAAGTTCTATCAATCCTAGTGAGAGAACCTATCCTGAAGAGATGATTCAGACTGGGATATCAACCATTGACGTCATGAACTCCATTGCCAGAGGACAGAAGATTCCCCTTTTTTCTGCTGCAGGTCTTCCTCACAATGAAATCGCTGCTCAGATTTGTCGTCAGGCTGGTTTGGTTAAGCGTTTGGAGAAGTCAGAAAATCTCCTTGAGGTATATCTTGTTAACCATCAGAGTTTGCAGATGAAATATGACTATACATACGATTATGATAGAGTTGCCTCATCAACTCAAATCCAAGAAATTTAGAGGGTTAAGCTGAAATAGATTTTGCTTGATTTTTTCTCTCTAGGTGAAGCTTGTGCAGTGATCTGTTCTATTCAACAAACCTCTATTTTAATTTTCTATTCTTTCAGTATTGAAATTAATGTATCACATTTGTTTGGGAATTTGCAGGACCACGAAGATGATAACTTTGCCATTGTGTTTGCAGCCATGGGTGTGAACATGGAAACTGCACAGTTTTTTAAACGTGATTTTGAAGAGAATGGGTCGATGGAGAGAGTGACACTTTTCCTTAACTTGGCAAGTCTCTCAATCAAGCTGTAGATGCCTTGAAACGACATAGCTCTAACGTTTCTATGACTTCTTGTTTCTCTACAGGCAAATGACCCCACTATTGAACGTATCATCACTCCTCGTATTGCTCTCACTACGGCTGAGTATTTGGCATATGAATGTGGCAAGCATGTCCTTGTTATTCTCACAGACATGAGTTCTTATGCTGATGCTCTACGTGAGGTGACAACCAATATAGACATCTTCTGTTTACGATGCATTTACTCCTCTGATGATAGAGAGCCTGATTTCTAACCATGATAATTGCACTAGGTTTCTGCTGCCCGTGAAGAAGTACCCGGTAGGCGTGGTTACCCAGGTTACATGTACACTGATTTGGCCACCATATACGAGAGAGCTGGACGAATTGAGGGGAGGAAAGGTTCCATCACTCAGATTCCAATTCTAACCATGCCAAACGATGGTAATTTCTACCGTAACTCTTTGGTTTTAGGTATTTGTATACAGGGCTTCTTAGCGACATTTTGATGTTCGAGGCTTCTAATTTCTTCGCTCTCTGTTGATCAGATATCACACATCCCACACCAGATCTTACAGGGTACATCACAGAGGGACAGATCTACATCGACAGGCAACTTCACAATAGACAGGTAAAATGTTGCAGAAGATAACATTTTCCGAAAGAGTTGTGGCCTAAATACAGAATGTGTTTTTATTCCTTAGATATACCCGCCCATCAACGTCCTGCCGTCTCTATCTCGTCTCATGAAGGTAAAGTGAAGTCTTGTACATTAGATAGGATTTGAAAAAGACATATATCAAGATCCACTCTCATGTGTTTTGCAGAGTGCCATTGGAGAGGGAATGACTCGCAGGGACCACTCTGATGTTTCCAATCAGCTGTATGCAAACTATGCAATTGGAAAAGATGTACAGGCCATGAAAGCCGTGGTTGGAGAAGAAGCACTCTCGTCCGAGGATCTGGTCTCTCTTTCTAATGCCACATATATTGAATAAACTCTCAGTTTCTTTGTCACTAACTATGAATGAATTTGGGTGTGCAACAGCTGTATCTGGAGTTCTTGGACAAATTCGAAAGGAAGTTTGTGGCACAAGGAGCCTATGATACGCGTAACATCTTCCAGTCACTGGACCTGGCCTGGACACTACTCAGGATCTTCCCCCGTGAGTTGCTTCACCGTATACCCGCAAAAACCCTCGACCAATTCTACAGCCGAGACTCCACCAACTGATCCATCCCCAAATGCATCTTTTTGTTTTGTTTTGTTCCTTTGCGGTTTGGTTCGCACCTCTCTGTGTCCTTCCCAAATAAAAAAGGTGACTGATCCAATGACTCCCAAATGCATTTCTTTTGAACATTCTTGTATTATTTATCATATTTTCTCTGTGTCACCAATGAAATAAAAACCCTCGAGGCTTGAGCTGTTGTTGTATGATCACTCATGGATGCTTCTTCAATTTTACATTGGAATGATATTTAAGATTTCCAAGCAAATACATAACATCGTCATGTGTTTGTTCACGTGGTGTGTATTTCTTTTACTGTTATGCTCACTATTTTGCGGTGTAGTTTAGCTAACCTAGTAACTTAAATGCAGCCCAAATTAATGCAAAACATAACGATTAAGGTTAAGGAATTACTCCTTTCGCGCGCTATGCCTAGTGGTGACACAACATAAATCTTTTTCTCGTTGGAACTAATCAACAAAAACCACTACACTTTTTTTTTATTTGAATGAATATATATGTATTTTTTTTAAACGATAGCCCATTAATATATGGGTTTAAAAAAAATTAAAAAGTTGGAAAAAATGGGGTATGTGCTACAATCTAGACCTTTAAATTTAGGTTTTTTGGTTAGTTTGTAAATTATATATTTTTTTTTTTGTATTAATGGCAAATTTTCTCTTATTATATTTGATAACGTAACTTTTGCCCTTTTTTTGGTTAAATTTGCGTTCATATCTGGATGTCGATATGTATCTATTTATTGTTGTCTACAATTAAATTGGATACTATTGACTAACTGATTTCATTACAGACAGACATGCGCTGGAGCACGATCATAGGTTTGTTTATGTTAAATTAAAAATGTTTTTGTCAACGAACTGTCATATATTTTATATAAATAACACTTTAAAATATAACCAAATGATGTTTTTACCATACCAATCATTCCATTATTAAAAATGATAATAAAACATTCAGCTTAAAGAAAAGGCGTCCATTCAATTTGCACCCTGATGTACAGGTACAGCTGGAGAGTTGCCTAAATTTGACCATAAGTACCTTTTTATTCACATTCAAAACCTTCTACAAATAGAAATTCCATAATCATTTTAATTACTTGCAAAGTAGGTTCTTTTGTTATGGTAAGAGCCAACGAGTAAGAGTAATAAGACTAGACTCAGCAGTACGTTTCTGCAAAAAACAAGATTCCTAATGGTCGGTAATGAATGACAACATAACAGGAAAATATTAATGTGGTGACTGTCCATTCACATGATTATTATTAATATTCTTAAATGATTTGCGTTTGATTCGACAAACATATATTAGTATATATAATAATGTTTTGACGTTTAAAGGAATTAAGAAGGGGGAAGTTGGCACAAACATAAAGTCTTCTTGTGAGTTGAAAATTGCCAGCAACAAGCTTCTTCTTCTCTCCGATCTAACTACGGCGATGAAGCCAATACGCCACAGCGAGTCTTCAACACGTTCTGACTCGCCAAGGTTCATCAAAACGACATCGAGCTCCTGTGATAGTCTGGGAAAATCGGTGATGTCTAAGTACACGTCTCTCCGGGAAATCTTGTCCGTGAA